AAAAAAAAAAAAAAAAAAGGAGATGAGAACAAATGCCCTAGTATTACCTAAACATCCAGTTATCGAGGGGTTGGCTCACCATTAGCCACGCCTTTAAGTAAGGTGAACGTTTTCTCAGCAGTACCTGGCTCCCATTTTTAAAGCTGTCATTTGATAAAAGAACGCTGTTAGGTTGGGCATGGTGAGGCTCACACTTGCTCACACAGCCTCCAGGACTTAGAATGGCTCGCCCTTCCTTCGCACACGCCAACCTGCGCTGGGCCATTCAAGGCGCCGCTCGGGCATCTTTCTTCGGAAGCCTTCCAGATTGCCAGAACAGCTCAGGTGCCTCCCTGGGACCCCGGCTCTCTCCCAGTAGCGCCCTCCTTCTTCGCCCTCAGCACTTGTATCTTCCACATACACGTGGACCCAGAGGGTGGCGCACGCTGTCCAAACCCCGTCCTGGTCCTCTCTCCTGCAGCCTTCGGACCCTGGACTCCATCGATGGAGCGCCGCCCTCGGCGCCTCTGCAGGAATCCGCACCTCTGCGCACAGTCCTGCCAGAACTGTGATTCAGGGCAGGCTCCACACTCGGACCTGGGAAGGTGCCACGGCGCTGTCGACCGGTTTTCGAAGGCTGGAGGGGCGCTCGGGAGGTGGAGCTTGCGGGAGCCGCGCCTCCCGGAAGCGCCGAAGTCTCGGGCTAGCGGATGCGCTGATTGGCTGGTGATGATGTCATATGCACCGTTCCGGGAGGGCCAGAGGTCTTGGCCAGGAGTTCGCAGCCCGTCTGAATCAGGATCTACCTGGGCCGCGGATCCACAGCCAGCGGTGCGTTCCGGGTCCCGAACCCTTTCCTCTGTACCAGGGTTCGGACGTGCTCTGCCGCTGAGCTGCCGCCTATCCTCGATGCCACCTTTGGGGGTCCGCACAGAGCCTCCGGGGTTCCCTCTCCCTGATATCCGCGACCCCCACAGACCCCCTCCCCCATACCAGGAGTCCTCCGCGAGGGGCGGGGCTTCCCATTGTGCCAATAGAAACAATGACTCTAATCCCTACGCGCGCCTGTGCCCCGCCCGCTGGCCTGCGGTGACGACAGCGCCCCGCGCCCCACCATTGGTCGGCGGAGACCCGCGCATGCCTGAAGGAGCCCGCGTGGCTTGAGTGGGATGGAGCGAAGAGCTGAGCTGTCAGTGCCTTCCAGGGTTGAGGGACACGGTAGTTTCGGGAGGGGACGGGCGTCTGAAGAAGCTAGCCCACAGCTGTAGCGCGGCGGTGGGCCCCGTGTGGCATTCAGAGCCCGGAGAGACCGCGCGGACCCCGGGACCCCGAGCCTGGGAGCTTGCGGGAGCCGGCGAGGAAGGTCGTCTCGGGCCCCGCTCAGCAGGGGTCCCTCACGAGCGGAGGACATGTTTTATGAGTGCAACTTGTGATCCAAGAGTTAAAGCTATTGTTCGTGCTGCTGGAGCCCTGGGCCGCGTCCGGCCATCCTCCCCTCTCGCCTTAGGACTGCCCCATACCCCGCCCAGAGCAGGGAGAACGCGCTCTGGACACGTCATGGGCATCACATTTGCCGAACAAAATCGCGCGCAGGCTTCATAACCATACTCAGGAAGGGAACAGAGCAGAGTTAGGAGACACCTGGGACAGCGCCCCAGGACGGGGAGGGCGGGGAGGGCGGTGGCTGAGAGCAGGGGGGCGGGTCCCACGGCGACAAGCTTGGCGCGGGGCTCGCCCGCGGGCCCCCGCGTGTCCTAAATAAAGATGGCGGCAGCGGCTTCGGTCGCCCGAGCTGCCATGCGCGGCGGGCTGTACTACCCGGTTTGGGGCGTCGGGGCGGAGGTGGATCGAACTATCCGGGCGGCTGGGAGCCATGTTGGAGCGACGGGAGGCGGCAGCGGCGGCGGGGATGCTGTGGTGGGGGCGACAGGAGCTGGGGCCGTATGCTAGAAGGGCTCCGGCCGCGGAGTAGATGGTGCCCAGGGGCAGGCGGCGG